CCCCCCTCCCACATGTGTGCAAAAACACTTGTCAGTTACAAGACTATCTTCAACAAAAAGACACCTTAATTGTAGAATCGGAGGCATCAAAGCCAGACTGACACAAGACAACCACCCTCCTGGTGGAGATACTCGGGATGAAAACAACTGTCCCATGGGCACCTTGGGAGATGTGCTGCTCAGAGTGGGAGGAGTGGAGGAGGAAGTGACCCAGGGTCCCAAGACCTTGGCCTGTGTGTGCTCCTTCCCAGCGGGCCAGTTTGATTCTCTTCATCCCGGTGCCCAAGACAGTAACAAAACAAATACAAATCTAAAAAAGAATTCTTAAGCAGGTGATGGGAACTATAATTGTGTAAGTACCTTTTTGTGTGCCTATTATTTATGCCATAGCTCTGGCAATTGTCAGGAAGTGTACAAAGATTGCCTGCCTAATGTCTGAAGATGAGGATTTTCTTCTTTCAGGCAGCAGAAGTCCATGCAAGATTTGTAAACAGCGATACAAAATACTGTAAACATAACTTAACAGAGCTTGTATAAAACAGAAGAAGTAAATCCAAATTTACAAGTGGGTAAAAAAACCAGAGGGCAGCTTTGTACAAAGTTCTCCCTCCTGCGCCAAGTGATTTTTTTTTTTTTTTTGATTACAAATATAATCCTGAGCTGAAAAACTGGGATTTGGGGGCGAGCCATCTTTGCATACAAAATATCCAAAGGATGCTTACTATATTTAATTTTCTCTAGTGATATTCAACTGCCAGAGCCAGTTCTGCAGGTGTGACTCTGGAGATATTTATAGTTTAGTGTGGCGCCCAGGTCTGGAGCCCGCTGCAGTGCTCGCCATGACAGCAGATGCGGCAGCATCCTCTGCTTCTTCCAGTTCATCCTGGAGCTCCTGGCTGACGCTGGACTGCAGGGCCGCGGGAGTGAGCCACTCCTTTGGGAGGCAGCTCTGTAGAAAGGGTATACAGGAGCTGAAGTAGGCAAGGCGATTGATCCAGCGAGGAATCTCTTTCCCACAAAGTATCTACAGAGGAAAAAGAGTTCTGCATTAGGTCTGAGAGGCTACAGTAATCTGGTGTATTGCCATGTAGAGTCATGGAGGAGGGAGGTGGCTGTACAGAAAGCTGCTGCTGACCAGTCAACTTTCAGTGCTGTCATGCTCCTTAACTCAAGAGCCTACGGATTGTTCTGTCAGTGCCATTCCTTCCTTTCTGAAGAACCTTGCCAAGCTGCTTGCTTTTAAAAGTAAAATCAAGCTAATTCCACATGGCTTCTTTCTTTCTTTGATCCTTCAACTGCTTTGAGATGCACGTAAAAGTACTTTGAACATAGAAAAAAAGGTGCTTGTTAATACAACAGGTTATTAAAGTGAAAGAAACCTCAGTAGCTCTAACAGTCATCTTGAGTATTTTCCTGTCAATTTTCCTTTTTCAAAGATACTTTTCTACTATCCTCTATCACTTCATTTTTACTGGCCTAAATTTTATCCCTGCACTTGGGTCCACAACTAACTTTGTTTCAAGGAAATTTGTTTTGATTCAGAAAGAAGTGTCTCCACATGAAGACCTAGGCATGCTTCATCCAAAGACAATCAGGGCAGAAATGGGTGCAGCTGGTCCTGTGCTGCCCACACATGCCCACTTCTCAACCTCCTACTGCTCTGTGGACTTGAGCCCCCCCCCCCTTAGTAAGAACTGGATCTTTAATAAAACTTACTCTATTATCCCCTTCTGCATATAATGCTGGGCTTAACTTAGTCTATACTCGTGTCTTTACCTGTAGACATGCCAAAGATTATGATCATGACCTGAAAGTGCCGTCTTAAGTGCCTGTGTATCTTTGACAACTTGGAAAGCGGTTTCAAGTATATTATGTAGAAAAAATAAGCTAAAATTTAAATAAGCTGGCACCTATGAATGCAACACAACCTTTTTCTCTGGCAATTTAGCCTTATCCTTTAATGTTTACTATATTTATTTTAAATACTACGTCTGTCTGGACTATAGGTAAAGTGAGGTTTTACTTCAGGAAGGTAGTGTGTTCTGACCAGTTTTGATTATCCAGCACTTCTCGCAGTGTCTCAAGTGGAGTGGTAGGCATATATCTAAAAAAATTTAAAGAACCTATGCATGGAGTAGCATGGGAGAAAACTGGGCAATGACCTTACACGACACCACTCCCATTTATCTATTCTTTCTTTGATGGTGTTGGGGATCAAACCCAATCTTCCTACATCTTTCAATTCTTAAAAACACTAGCAAATATCTTTCATATCAGAAACATATTTAGAAATATCTGCCAATCTGGAAAGCAACCACGTGAGTAGCAACTAAGAATATTTATGTTGTTCATGTGATTGCCACTTTGCCTATCCCTTCTAAGCTCTAATTTTATTCAGCAATCTACCTTTGTCCATATTTAAAAAGTACTTAAAGTACTTAGTCTATACTCTTAAGTGTCTTTAACCTTTAGATATGCCGAAGATTATGATCATGACCTGAAAAGTGCTATGTGCTATATACGGGTGAAGCTGACTTGGGGTGAGGTTTGACTATCCTAAAACAGTTCTGTAATCTCCAGGCATCTGTTTTTGGAGATAAAATTTCACTGGCCTAGCTCTGCCTATTCACTTAGCTACTTTACAAAACTCTTGGGGCATAGTCGCAGGGGCCGAGCTGGGATTATGAATCATTAGCTCACAACCTAAAAAATGTACTACTTGTTTTTTCATAAAAAGTTAGCAAACTTGGTGTCAATGTTTTGAAAACTTTCAGTGAAACCCACTGGTAGGTCATTTAGCACTGTGCTCTGATTTTTAAAAATGAAACATTGTTAAAGGTAACTGTGATACTTAATAAAAATATGCATGTGCATACATGTCCACACTCATAATCTGTCATAATTTAAAAAGTACTTATTATGTCTAGTAGTCAAGTAGTACTTGGTTTAGGCAACAAAATGCAGAGGAATGTAGTTTTTAAAAACTGTACTTTTTGTAACAGCAAAAACATCAAAAATAACTCAAATACCATCAACAGAAAAGTGGTTCAATAAATTATGGTGCTCTATGCAGGGAGAACAACTCAGCTGAGAAGGGAAATCCGAAGTCTCTATCTGCTGTAGAGTGAATGCTAAGGTACAGAGCACAGAGGTACATGCAGTGCAATACCCCTTACGGTTTTGCTTTCTGGAGTTTCAGTTACGGTCAGCTGTCATCCAAAACTACTAGGATTATCTTGAGAGAAACGACATTCACATAACTTTTATTACATCTTGCAGCATTTTAATAATTGGTCATTTTATTATTATAGTTTTCCTCTTAGTGTGCCTAATTTATAAATAAATTTTAACACAGGTATATATGTGTATGGAAAACCACTATAAGATTTAGTTCCATCTGTAGTTTCTGGCATCACTAGCTCCCTCAGATAACAAGTCCTGCTATATGGTTAGATAAAAAAAGCAAAGTAGAGAAAAGTATATGACATATTTAAATATAATGGTTGGGCAGATAATAGCAGTTACAGACATTCCGAATCCAAAAGAGGGAAGATGGCAGGAAAAAATAAGTCACTAGTCCCTACTGGTTTTGAAATCCAACTGGAAATTAGGTTTCTTGCTCTGCCCTGTGGGCCCTTGAGCCTGTCCGTGGACTCACAATTCCACTTTCACCAACCCACGTCCTGCTTGTAAATCTTGCGACCAAGAGTCTTCTTTCATTTTGTGCTCTCTGTACTTTCAGAGGCAGCACCCTGCTAATGTAACACGTGCAAACGGATGGGTCTCCTGTATAAGCCCTGCATCCTTTACAATGTTTCATGTATAGCCCACCTCTATTCTTGGTTGCTGCTGAGGTGGTTAAGAGGATCCATGAGGCATACAGTTAAGCACTTCAGGAGTTGAAACAGCGGTTCCACTTTACCCGTAGCCTCTCTACAACATGCTTTTTCCCCCTTTGCTTTGTTCTCTGAGAGGGGTCTTACTCTGTAACCCAGGCTGGCCCCAAACTCTTGGCAATCTTCCTACCTTGGCCTGCTGAGTGCTGGATTACAGGCATGTGCCACTATGCTTGGCTTACACATGTTCCTATCAGTAAAGTTCTAGATTTAGCATCTTTTACAATCTCAATAGGCTGAGAATCAACGATTCCTTTTTTATTTTATTTATTTTGTATTTTAGGGAAGTGTCTACAGGGTGTTCAGGGTCTCACTACTAGATCAGATGTATAGTGATCTGCCTGTTAACAGCCTACCAAGAGCTGGGATTACAAGCATGTGCCACCATGCCAAGTCTCATGCGCCGTCTCAGTGTGCCCTGGGCACAGGGCCCCCCGCACAGCAGGCCCGGGGACTGAAACCCTGGCTCCTGTGCCTGCTTGCAGGCAACTTTAATCTGCTGAGCTATTTGGCCGGCCTTCAATGATTCTTTTTTAGCTTAAAACTTTTTACCTCTATTTACTGTCTTTTCACATTTTACTATAAGCAACTAGAAAGCAGACTATAACCAAATTTACTGCTCACAAGTTTTGCTTTCCACATAACTGCAGAACACAATGCAGCTAAGCGTTCTACCACTTTGTAACCAGGCCCTCCTTTTGTCCAGTTTTCAATGACCTCTTGGTCATGCCCTTTTAAGTGTTAAGGAGCAGCATTTTTCAGATCTGTATTTCTATAGCAGTCTGTTCAAGGTAACCGAGACCGTTTCTATCAAATCCTTCAAAAATCACTCCGGTCCTCTTCTATCATCTAATTCCAGACTGTCTTACTTTTAAGTATTTGTTACAGAAGCACCCTACTTCCAGGCACCAACATCAGTATTAGCTCTCTATTGCTGCTGTAACAAATTACAGGAACTTGGGAGGTAAACTGCTGATTTATTTTCCTATAGTTCTAGAAGCCAATGAAGAATAGAGAACACATGAAGCTAGATTTCCAGAAATATACTATTTCTTTTTTTCCAGTTATCACTTTGAAATGATACAAAGATTCTATATAGCATAAAATTTAGCCATAAGCACAAGCTCTTAAAAAACATAAGCAGAACAAATGAACTGAACCATAGTTGGTAATACAATCATACAGACTGACATTTCTCCAGTTAACTGTAAAACACTCATTTGACTGTATCTTTTTATGTAGTCATGCTCAAAGACAATGAACCATAAAAAAATTCAACTTTCTGGTAATCCTATTGTTGGGGCAGTGATGAGTCTGTCATCCTAAAGGTACAAAGAGATAAAACGATAAGTAATTATGTTGTTGCTGACAAGTGAAAGACCTGACCTGAAAGAAATGTATTATACTGATGAAAGTTACCTAAAAACTGCAGCTTTAACTTTGTTCAACTCTGTTTTCCTGTGATACAGATTTATGGAACATGGGGATGCCCCGCTCACTGCTCCTGTCCACGACTGCTATTATTTTATGCCAATGATAATGAGATGTAGTCCTAAGTAGCTTCTGTGATTCCTACTGCTTTTATCTGAATAGATTCTTTTGGCGTGGATTCATACATCAGTTGATTTGTGGGAATTGTGATAAACCAATTTTATTTTGAAAAGCAAAATTAAAATGTGAATGTGCCTATAAAAAGCCATACATCTTATTTACTGGGAGAAAAAGGAAATCCAGAAACTCTTATCAGTTTAGACATGCCCTTTAAGGAACCCAGATTAAAGTTTCTAAATATTAGAAGCAAAGAGTTCTGGGTTAAACACAGGAACCTGAAATAAACAGAAAGTCTATTAAAGATTACTGGGGCAAGCATGGGACAAGGGCTGTTACTGCACTAAACTGAAACATACAAAATATTTTTAAATCTGGAAAGAGGAAATTTACAAAACTAAATTTTCAAAAGAGAGGGAGGAGGAGAGGGAAAGAGTCAGGGAAAAGGTCACCTTTGGAGAATGACAGAGAAGGAACTACATCATCAGTCCCTAAAACTACTTTCAGGTTTGAAGATTTGCTGAGGAATTACAAGACGAGGCACAGACTTGTATTCACAGCTATGATTACAGCTAGAGAATATAAAATAAAATGAGAAAGGAAAAGAAACAGAGTAAAGTCTGGAGGAACTTCTGCTTCCAAGCCAGGTGAAAAATCAGTGTCTGTCTTTCAGAAGGATTACCCGAGGGCAGTCAGTTCCAAGTCTGTCTGTGCATGATACCAGATTACCACTCTCCTGGTGCAGATGACATCGGGAGGTTTCCTCTAAGAGAGGTGCAGAAGGTGAGGCCTCTTGTTTTGGAGTTGGCACTGCTAGGTGTGAGCAGAGGCTCACTATCTGAATTCAAAGTGCATGTACTGCTTAAGAAGCAAGGGACATTTTTCTCTAAGAAGAGGGAAATAGCAGTACTGAAAGAGGAACACTCAGTACTGAAAGATTAATTCTTCTTTTGAGTTTCCCTAGGTGCCAACATTTTGATTTTTATTGCAAAATCAGTATGATCCAGTTATCAATCTGAGTTCACATTTTAAAAATGCCCCCCTACTCTCATGGAGACTTTTTTATCCGGAAGGCAACATATTAAGGAGGAATAAAGAGGTTTCATAGGGAAATAGTTTTATATAAAATAACAAGAAAAACATGTCAGGTTAGGATTTGGTCAAAATTAAATCCAGAATTTCCAGAAAATTTCAAAATAGAACTGGGTGTGGTGGTGTATGCCTATAATCCCAGAATTCGGGAGGTAGAGGCAGGAGGATTGCTGAGTTTAGGATCAGGGGGCCGGGGAGATGGATCAGTAGAATAAGCGCTTGCCTGGCAAGTGCAAGGGCCTGAGTTCAATCCCCGGTTACACACACACACACACACACACACACACAAAAGATCAGCTTGGACTACATAGTGAGTTCAAAGCCAGGCTGAACTCTGTACAGTGAAACCCTGTCTCAAAAAGGAAAGAAGAAAGGGAGTGAGTGAGGGAGGGAGGAAGAGAGAAGAGAATTTCAAAACGGGCTAATAGAATCACTCACCTCTTTTATTCTGATCATTGGTCTAATGAGTAGAAAGAACACTTCCTTTCTGGGGACAATTACAATTAGTAATACAACCACCTTATAAAGATGTGTAGCTGGGTGTGGTGGCATATACCTGCCATCCCAGCACTCTTGGCCAGTCTGGGCTACATAGTGAGTTCAATGCCAGTCTGAATCAGTCTTAAAAGCAAAAAACAAAGATTGGTTTATCAGAAGAAACAGGTAGGATAGGTTGGCTATTGGTCCACTGTTACCAATTATACCTCATCTAGAAAGTTCTGAGACTAAACTCCAGTCACATATTCCCTATCAGTGGTGGGCACAGGTTGTCATAGTCCTGGGATGGGCTTTCCCTGTCACTTGTAACTTCTGGCAGCAGCTAAAGTCAGGAATGGAATTAGTCCCTGTACTGGAAATACCAAGCTGACCAACAGCTTGATTTCAGACGGTCCTACTAGAGAAGTGCTTTCCTGTGAAAATGTACAAGTGTCCACCAAGGTTTGTTCAGTCAACAACCATATTTACACAGTTGAGGGCCTTAAGGAAGGATAGCCTAAATCTACAGTGATTCCTACATAGAAATCTTGTTCTCTGAGCCTAAACCTTGCAGATTAACTGAGATTATGTGTGGCCAAAACTGTGGAGAGCAGACAATGTCTGGTTTTAGCTTAAAAGTCAAGTTCACACAATTGATATTTATGAACTTAGGTGGGAAAGAAGCAAAACAAAGCTGGAGGTGTTTTTGTGGTATAAAACTGAGATGCTGGTTGGCCAGATGACTACCTTTTCAAGTTGAAGTGCCATGTAAACCTTTCTTAGGCTGTTTCTAAGTCCCACTCAGAAAGATGCACGTTAATCACCAGCCTTTAGAAGTTGTGTTCCACTAACATTTTTTTCAACTGCCTTTTGGAGACAATCTTGCTGTGTAGTTCAGGGTAGCCTTAAAGTCACTGAAGTATCCACTGAATATAATATCTGGGGTCAGAAAGGCTTAGAACCGCCTTTCCCTCTTTAGTGCAAAATTGAACATGCCCCCTCCGTGGTACTGATGCATCCACTAGACTTGAAGGAGCATCTCAAATTTTTATCTTCATATGAATCAACCAGAGATCTTGTTAAAATGAAGATTCTGGTTCAGTATATACATAGTGGGGCAGGGACATTTGTTCCACAAATTCCTAGGTGATACTGCTCGTGCATGAGCAATATCACGCTTTGACTAGGATGGTAGGAGATCACTATAGCCCTGTCAGAAAGGGGAAGTGCAAAAGGGCAGGTGGCTGAATATTTCTGGATAGTGGTCACTAAAAAAAGCAGCTCACTTTCTTCTTCTTCTTTTTTTTTTTTTTTAAAGCAGAATATATTTATTGAGAGAAAGAAAGCTCCTGTCCCGAGAGAGGGACGGGGGACGGGGGACGGGGGGGCGCGAGCGGGTAGTTCCCCTCACTTTCTTCTTTACAGTATCTGTAATTTCTGTGGCACCTTGATGCTACTAGTGCAATTATCTGCTAAAAGTCAAAGTGGGGAACCATGTGATATTTAATTCTCTAAACTTTATTTTCATTTCTTCCCACCATCTTCTGTTTGGGATTTAAGAATAGAGAAGGCAACTTAAGTCCTTGTGTGACTGGTTAGCAAATTTTCAGACAGGAAAAATGAATTATTCATAAATAAGTGCTAAGAAAAAAAATTCAGGTTGGCAACTAAAAGCCAGCAAAAGAAAAGTTTTAGTATTTAAGAAGCATCAATCTCCTAGGCATTTTATTTTTCTTAAATTGAACTTTCAGGTTGGCTATATTTAAATCTCCCCAAAGCTGACGTGTTGAAGGCTTGGATGCTAGCCTGTAGGGCACTGGGAAGATGGCAGAACCTGGAGAGGGAAGGCCCAGGGAAGAGATTAGGTTCCCTGCACCCTCCCTTCTGCTTCCTGGACACCAGAAAGCTCTGGCTCTGTTCTCCCATGTGTCCCCACTTGGATGTCTCACGCTGGCTGCCACAGGGCCCCAAAGTACACATCCAAACCACGCATGGACTAAAACTGTGAGCAAAGGGCACTCCTCAGGTCCTTTTCTCACCCATAAGCTGCAGACACGCAACTGTCATCAAATGAATAAAGAATAAGAGTCATTCTCTGCCCATTGCAAAGAAACAAAAAGAATTATTATTTAAAGCTTTACTGACTCTCAAGCTCTCAATTCTAGAAAGGTCATTCATACAACAAAAATATAATACTTTTGTACAACACGAATCACCAGAAAAAGAAATGAATCAAGATGGAATACAGTGAGTCAGGGAGAATTCTAGTAAATGTTATTTACCTGAAGAACTTGTAGGATAAAATTATACTTACTTCTGATAAAGCTGAAGAGAAGTGATTGCAATTTTTATGCATCAAATGATAGGCATTGCCTTTGTATTCTTTTCCCAGTTCTTCTACTATTTTTTCTATATCATCTTCTAGGAAGTCAGTGCTCCCTAAAACAACAGCTTCTCTTAAAGAACTAAAAAAAAAAAAAAAAAAAAAAAAAGGAACAACAAAAAGAACAAAGCTGTGTGAGTTTGTTATTTATAATATGTATATTTAAACATTTGTTTATTTCCAGGAATATTATGATTGATGTGACAAATCAGAGTTAATGTAGTTAAGACTTACAGGTAAATGAGATCCTTTGAAAACTTTTTTACTTTTTTGCAATAAACTTGTAAGTTTACTACTTCTTAATTATGTAAGTACACAAGTTGAGTTCTTTAAGAAACATGTTATTAGAATTCCATATCCAAGCTAAAAACATTCCTTTTTAAAAATACTAGTAAGAGCTGGCTACGTTTTCATTTAGGAATAATCAGTTAAGCTACCTGCCACTGTTCTGTAGTGAAACAAATTGTCAAACTTGATGAAATTTTAAGAAGTATTATTCAAGAAATGCTTTTAATTCAGGGATTTCTTTTTTCATTTCCAATCTGAGTTCCTCTATACTTTTCTGCAGCTGTTTCTTTATTTCAGAAGCTGTTGATTCATTGATTTCAGCTGTGTGATTCCCAATTTGTTCTGTGTTAGTGTCCTCTGCACTTGTTATGGGTGGGCTTGGGTTCTGAGATTGCATTTTGCTCCTTCTCATTGGCATTTTGTGTAGCACTGTCTTCTGACCTTTGGTGCAGTTGTAACCTCAGCACCTACTGAAATTTAGGTGCAGATCTACAAAGTTTGGATTTACCCAGCTGTGCCTGGCTTGGGTCTGGCTGCTGTGCTCAGCTCCTTCCTGCTGCCGCCCTTGGGAGTGATCCTGTTGTGCCCCTGTGGCAAGATGTTCTGCTCCTGGACTAGCTGGGTGGTTCTGTCCCCTACTCTCTCTGTAAGGACTGCAGCTGCAGGGTTTCACCTCAGGCCTGTATGCCAGGCCTGAGCTGAGTCTGGAGGGGACAAGGTGGAGTAGGGGGGAGAGGCAGCTCTCCCACACACTCACCAGGCCTGGGTTAGGACTGGATCTGGGGTCCCCAGAACACGTCAGAAATTCTCACTGGGCGGGAAGGGTGGAGGGGTGCTGTGGAGTGTTGGGGGAGTCCCAGGGGGGTGGAAAAGGGTCTCACCCACGCTGCGCCTGGGCTGGGACCTACAGGTCCTGCCGGCGCAGGGTAGCCAGAAGCTCTCCCACCAAGAAATGCTTTTAAAAGAAAACAACCAAAAATTACTATTGTAACAATAAAAAGGAGAATTTTAGTCAGATGCAAGTCAGGCATCAAAGAAGGCTGTAAACAATTAGAAAATCTTCTTATCAAGTAGTGCTTCCAAAAGGGAGCCCTAAGGAGTAGATTTAGGAAGTATAGTATTACTGCACTCCTATGTATAAATGTTTCAATTCAGTAATAAAATAAAGCGAGCCATGAACTTAGTAGTAGGTAAGCCCGACACTGCATTTCTGTATTATACAGCCATTACATTAATTTTCACTTGGGAAGTTACTCAGCAGTTTCTTTAAAGCTTTTAAAAACTAAGCTTGTAGGGCTGGTGAGATGGCTCAGTGGTCTAAAGCACCTACTTAGAACAAGCTTAGCAAAGCACAGGGACCGCGGTTCAATCCCCCAGCACCACATGCCAGCCAGCCCCGCCCCCTGGTGGGCTGAGCTGGGCACACACACACATACACACACACAAAATAAACAAACTTAAAAAAAATAAAAAAATAAAAACTAAGATTGTAAATAATACTTTAAATACAAACCTTGATTAAGGAATGGAAATCTTCTAAAATATAGATTTTCACTGCCGATTTTCAGGTTCCAGAGAATACCCATAGCCACACATGGGTGTTTATTATTACACATAATACCTGTATCTTAACAATTGTGCCCAAGGTGCTTAATTGTTCTTTTTATCTCTCTCTCTCTCTCTCTCTCTCTCTCTCTCTCTCTCTCTCTCTCTCTCTTTTTGTTTTTTCAGTACTGGGGATTGAACTCAGGACTGTCTGTGCACTTGCCAGGCAGGCACTTATTCTTTTGAGCTATCTTCCCAGCACTTCTCTTTCTTTCTTTCTTTCTTTCTTTCTTTCTTTCTTTCTTTCTTTCTTTCTTTCTTTCTTTCTTTCTTTCTTTCTTCTTTTTCCTGTATTTTAGGGAAGGGTCTACAGGGTGTTCAAGGTCTCACTACTAGATCAGACTTGTAGTGATTCTCCTGGTTCCAGCCTTCCAAGTGCTGGGAGATCAACTGTTCTTATTTCAAATTTATAAAACAATTCTTCCATTGAGAAAAGATATTTATTTAGTCTTCTTGAGGTCTCGCTATGCAGCTCAGGCTGGCCTTGAGCTCACTTGGTAGCCCAGGCTGTTCACAAACTCATTACAAACCTCCTGCCTCCACTTCCTGAGTGCTGAGATTACAGGCATGCACCACCACACCTGGTCTGCGTGATTTTTAATAGTGATAGGTTACAATAAAAACTTTCTCCTTTTTCTCCTCCAAAGGATCTTTGGGGTTAGAAATTGTCATTAGGTAGGAAAGTTTCCTGAGATAGAACCTGAATCAAAGACAAAACTACTTTAGGGCTGGGAAGATAGCTTGGTGGTCAAAGCACCTGCCTGGTAAGCGCAAGGACCCTGGCTCAACCTCCGGTACTGCACACCATGCCAGCCCTGAAACCAGGTGTGGTGGTGCACGCTTATAATCCCAGTGCAGGGGAGGCTGAGATAGGAGGATCACTGTGTGTTTGAGCTGAATAGTGAGAACCTGTACCAAAAAAAGAAAGAAAAGAAAAGAAAAAAAAAGAAAAAAAAATTTATACGGGTCCTATATAAATCATCATCAGACATTTGATTTGGATTACCACCTTTACACAACAACTTAAATAGAATTCATTCAAAAATAAAGCATCAAGAGCTACATCATTTTCATTTAAATACACAAAATGAATTCTGTAGCCTGAAAAAACAAGTTTTTGCACCTAAGACAATGTAAGAAAAATTACCTTCCCCTACTTACTTAAACTTAAATGTTTCTCCTAGTTCAGAAGCATTTCCTGGGGAAATTTCAAATATTCCAGAAAAAGGGTAAGGATGGCCACCATAAGCAAATTCTGAAAAGAGAAAATTCATGGTTTTAAACATTTATCACATAAAATTTAACCAAATGCTCAATCAGCACTGATAAATGAGGATGGTGATACTAATTTAAATATTTTTCAATTTATAAATGCTTTCACAAACATCTCATTTAGTTATTACCCAGTGTAGAACAACTGTTAAAAAGATTTGAAACTTGAATAAATGAAAGGCACTCTTCCAAGTTAACTGTGACTGCTATATTGTATTTATTTATATTAGCAAGAGGACAGTGACAAACACTCAAAGGTAAACAGTCTCTCTCTGGTTAGCTTTGTGTTTTTGCACTTTTCAAGATGTCACTTCACTGGAAACTGTCTAATGACACTGAGTTTTCACTGAGCAAATATTTTTAATTTCTTTAAGGATGTAACATTATCAAACACAAAACAATTTAATTCCCTTCATTCAAGAAAAAGATAGCCAGTAAAATTAATAGTCCTTCTCCTGATTTTGTGCAGCAAATTTTTTACCCAGGAAGGTACCATTTCTACTACAGTTCACATATAACCATCTTTTCTGATATAAACTCATCCAAGACAAAAATGGAGAATTATTTCAAATCAGGAAGGAACAAAAGTTTCTAGCTATAATTCTGATAATCTCATTTAGATGTTTAGGATACTAAGTCTTATTAGACAATTAAGATTTATTAAATATCTTAAAAGGTCTTAGAATAATGTGTAGGGAATAAATGACAAGTTTTTGAATCAGTTTTCACAGAAAAAAAACTTACAGATGAAAATGTGTTTAGAATTCAATTTTGAAATATAAATAATATTTAAATAATAGAATTTTATAAAATATTTCAGATATTCAAGATTAGACATAGAAAATCACACCTGAATTTTAACTTTATATAAGGAAAGACCATTTTATACAAAAAATAATTATTCACTTTCAAGAATCTATTTTGGTCCTAGTTGTGTTAAGTTTACATGGACATGTTCTAAATCATACTTCTAATTATCCATAACTCATTTTATGAAGGGATCAATGACTAGGGGTTCACAGGGCAATAGACTAGCATGTAAGAGCCAGGCATGGTGGCACATGCTTGTAATCCCAATACTTTAGTCTGAGGCAGGGCAACTATAAATTCAAGCCCAACCTGGCCAATTTAGTGAAACTCTGGCTCAGGAAAATAAAAGGGCACAGATGCAGCTTAGTGGGAAAGCCTACAATCCTCAGTACCACCAAAAGCCACCAAAACACAAGAGAAAATAAAACCAAACCACTGGGTCCAAGCCCCAGTTCTATTAGTTATTACTAATCTAACTATGGTAAATTTACATGGACATATTCTAAATAATACTTTTTCATCTGAAAAATCAAGAAAATGACACAGGCTATTATGTACTTCACAGCATAATAAACTAGTAACACTTCAAATGTTACATGCCATCCAAATTCAAGTTATAAAGTAATACACAAATTTGGCCAAAGACTAATGAAGAGAGCCAACCCACAGACTACAGTCATAGCAACACTCTAATCACCTCAACTTTCAGCAAGAGCCACTCACCATTTCTCCAGCTTACTTGGAGGCATGGTCTTCAAGCAAAATGAGGCTTAAATGGTAGATCTTTATAGTCAAGATTTATTTTATTTTGCTACAATAGGTCAAATAATGTGGAACATAAAAAAGGAGCAAGATTTGGAGATGCAGCTCAGTAGCAGTGAACCTGCTTAGCATGTGCAAGGTTATGAGTCCAATCCTCAAAAAGGTGGACAGGGTCAGGAGGAAAGTATAAAAACCATACTTACATGTTTAACATCTAAGTAAGTGAGGGTTTTCTTTATGTCTTTAGGGGTATATATGTCTTTATAGTCTTCTGGGGTAACACTGAGTAAACTGCAACCTTCAATGGCCACAAAAACTACCTATTTGATGCAAATAAAGGCATTTTTACCATAAGATGTGTTTAAGATTTAAGATTCAAACTGATATATTACCACTTGATAAGGAAATCGCTTTGCACAGAGAACCAGAACAAAGGAGGAAGCTGCTGAAAACACAGCTGCTTGGGTTGTGTGGCTTCCTCATGTTCATCATAATAAAGAAGGGTTGGGGGTACAGCTCAGTGGCATAAGTACCTGCCTGGCAAGTTAAAGGCCCTGAGTTCGATGCCCGATGCCCAGTACCAAGATAAAAAAAAAAAAAAAAAAAAAAAGATAGAATGAAAAGGGCTGACTTAACAACAAAGGCCATCATTCTTGTGCAAAATGCTAGATGTAATCAAAGGCAGGATTTGCTCAGTGAGATTTTTAAACATACACTTTAATAGTCTACAAAAACCAAATTCATTACTGAAATTCCCTAAGGAAATTGGTATTTCAAGTTTGACATTCTCTAGTGTTGGGAGCCATGGAAGCTGGAAAACTGGTCAAATGTGTGTAGGTGGGACTAGGCCTCAGTGTCTAAAGCAAACAAGCTACCTCAGTCCTAAGATAAGCATTCTGACTAGTTAATGTGGGTTATTAGTCACTAGGCAACCTTTTCTTACACGTTACGAACTTTGCAAGGGTATACATAAAAGTCCATATTGTTGCTGTGTGTGTGTGTGTGTGTGTGTGATCTTGCCAACCAAGCAGCCGAGTCATCACCTAATCTGCTTTTGTCTTTTTGTCTATTTTTCTCATTCCTGCCACCCTTTCTTCAACTCTAATACATATTACAAACAGTGCAACAAACTATCACAGAGTAAAATAATCAGAAAAGAAAACTTTTCTAAAGACATAGAATTTAGAATAGAAGATAGAGAAATGAATACAATACTCTTGTATTTTGAGTACTTTCTCCCCAAACACGTTCTACTTTGGGCATTTTTCCAAAACACAGCATAAACAAATATAGGGAGAGCATTTTCGTATTTTTTGCAATAACATATGGAAGTGGTTAAAAAAAAGTTATAGTTGTAATTTTTTGATTCCTTTAATGGGCGAAATCCTCAGCAAGTATATTTAAACTGTGCATACTTACCTCTACCATATACTTCAATTCCTGAATGAAAAACTCCAATTCCAATGGATGAAGTGTATTCATTCATCCAGTACTAAGAGAATAAGAGGAAAAAGATATTTAGATTATCCATTCATTTACAACTTAGTTTCATATTACATGAAGTACCTAATCCCATTTCTTGGTATTTTTCCGTTGGGAATGATGCATCCCTGTCTTTGCTTGTGAAACATTTCACCTGTAATGCCTTCCTTTGTCAAAGCAAATGTCTCAATTTGAGTCTGGCACATTACTTAAGGCCTAGGCATAAGAAATTAAACTTAAGTATTGTCAGGTTGGTAACACATTTATAGAAAAACAAAGCTCTTCTGTTAGTGATTTTAAAAAAACCAAAGCCCATATACATTGTTGGCTTTTGGATCCATTTTTCTTGTAAGCTTCTGCTTTCATTTTCTGGTGAACTCTTTCAAGGTAGGGATACTTCATTCTTATTCAACAAACATTTGTGGATTGTGTTATATGTATTCTGGTTCAGCAAACTTATTAATGATAATGGAGAGGAATAAACATGAAGCACAGAGGTTAGAAAAGCCTTTTCATTGTTAGCATGAAAAAAAACTTTCCCAGAAAAGCTAACATCAGACCTGGGTCTTTAGGAACAAATGAGAATTTCCCAAATAAAAAGTTGAATGAAGGGGAAGGTGAACAGGAAGCAGCAAGAGGCAGGTGGGGAAGGTGGATATACACAGGTAATAGGATATGAAATTACATGGAACGGCTATGAAGAGCCAACTTGGCAGAATTAACCCTATAAGAGGTAAACACCTAACACTCCAACAGTGTTATAAACCTAATGCAATCTCCTAGGTTAGAGGACTGATTTGTCTTCAATCATTTTTAGGTTTATTCAACATAGAAATGTTGGCTCTAGATACCTTGCCAACTTATCCCAGATCTGGAAAAATATATGTTCTTATACACTGCCAGTGGAAGCATAAATCATAAATGAACATGTCCCCCTGCCTCATGTTCCTAAGAGTAAAATTTAGCATTAAGAAGAAATATTTAACAAAGAACAAAAGAGTTTCCCAACTAGGCATCAAAATATTCATAACAATTTACACTGTTCTAAGAACATCATGATACAGGTCTTGATGTATGATAATTATTACATAGCTCAGAGGCCCAACACCTGTCTGGCAAACACAAGGTCTTGAGTTGGATTCCCAGTACCCCTCTCCCCAAAAAAGCTTATGAAATTAATGACAAAGGAAACATTGAAAGCATGTTGACAAAATTGATACTGTATAAAAAAATTTATGTATCTAAAAATTCTAGTGTATCTAAGAGTAAATGTACATAGAATACAATAAAAAAGATCAGGAAAAGGCTCTTAAGATGAGAAAAGTCAAGTTGAGTAAAGCAAAACCCCTGGAATTTTTAGAACACCAATAGATACTTAACATACATATATCTTTTTTTATTGTCTAAACTACATAAAAAGATCAAAAGATAAACACAGGGGCAAAAAACTGTAAAATACATACAACAAAGACTGATGTGAAACTTTAAGTGTCTTTCTGTACCTGAATCTTCTGAGTTCCCAGTTTCAGATAGTCAGATTTTGGTGGATAAGTGAGGAAAACAGGGATACTTCAAAAAATCTTATTCAATGTGATTTTGGATGGAGGGTAGTCCAAGTGTATATAGCAAGAGTCTACACAACATATAACCAATATTTAATTGCAGAATTTGGGCAACCAAACTGCAGACACACAGGTTTATCTGTAAATAAAACTCTATTACAGAGAGACAAAGACAGAGAGAAAGAAGAGGGGGGAGCGACTAGAAAGGTATGATACTGAAATGAAGCAAACAGTCACTAAATCCTACCCTTTTCAAAAACTCATTTAAATGAAGTAAAGGTTTTTAAAAAATAATGCCAATACTTGGTGTTAGTAAGGATGTAAAGAAGATACTGCACAAGGGTAAATAAATGATAGCTCTTAATCATTCTACTTCTTAGAATCTATATCAATACTTGTACAAATGCAAAGGAATATTCTGAAACAGGACATTAACTATAGTTGTCCATTATACTGAAAAACTTGAGGTAATTTATTATGATAAATCCTTTTGTCTAAATGACCACCAAAGCCTCAGGCAGTCTGGGTGGGGTTTGTTCAGGGGGTGGCTGGATCTACAATGTATGATGCTGGGATCAAGAGTGAGCGATTATTACATCAGTCCACGATTGGTTTGGCACCTGCCCTAAGTCCAGTAGCCTACAGTGAATACTAACGGGGCATAAGGAAGCTGCTAAGGTCACTTGGACTTGGTTCTTCCCTACCTTCTGCCTGCCATGAACTATTTTCTCCTCCTTGATGCCTTTCTGCCACGCCCCATGCCTGGGAGCCAGCCAGTTAAGGACTAATGCCTCTACAAACTGTGAGCCAGGTATTTTGTTTTAGCAACAAGAAAAGTAACTAAAACTTTCATACAACTACCAAAATGAATGGGGTAACAAGACGTAAGAACACTAAAAAAAACCCACATAAAATAAAGACTTCCAATACAAAGTGACAAAAATATACAGTAAATAAACCTATTGCAGTAAAATACATATTGCCATTAATGTATCTGCAACAGGGCCATACATGTACGACTGTTCCATCAGGTGACTTGTACCACCGATGTAACTGTCCCAGGCTGCCTGAAGGTATACTTTCTGTCTTAGTTACTTTTTTCTTGCTGCTGAGACAAAATACCTGACACCCAAAATTAAGGAAAGGTTTATTTTGCTCACAGTTCGAGGAGGTTTTAAGAGTGGCACATGGCAGAAGGCAACAACAACAACTGTTCATGGTGGTGGAAAACAGCAAATGCAACAATAGCAAAAAGGGAGGAGCCTCTTTCTCTTAAACTGTATGGAGGTTACCCACTCCAAGGTGGGTTTATCACACCATATTCCTAGCACTGAACTATTAATCAATCATAAACTCTAGAAGCCCACCCCATGACTGCATGAAGCTTTGTGTGTGTGTGTGTGGGGGGGGGTATCTAGACACAAACCATAACACTCATGCATGTATCACTGGTAGTTCAAGTCAGCAGGAATATGTAAAACCTCTTGAAAATATTTCCTTATTTCAAACATAGCCTTCACTCTTGCCACTTTCTGAAGCAGTTCTGGAAGTCCTCTTTCATGCATTTAGGAGGCAGAATAAAAATTTTGCTGACCACTAGCTGGGCGTGGTGATGCACACTTGTAATTCTAGTGTGTAGGAGTCTGAGGCAGAAAGACTGATATGAGTTCACGGCCACCTTGGCTGACATAGAGTTTAAATCCAGTGTGAATCTTGAATTTTTTTTCCTTCCTGTTACTGAGCACCAACCAACGGAAAAACAGGTTTGTAAAAACATCACAGTGTCCCCTTACCCACATTATTCATTGGACTTGGCACTACGCAAATTCTGGCTCTTTCCCTAAATCAAAATGCCCATGAAAGATAAATGTTTTGAATCAATTCAGGGCATTGACACAACCATCATAGTGCAACTAAAAACACACAAGAGGACTTCAGGAACTGCTTCAGAGTGGAAAAAATGATGAACAAGTGTGTTTGTAGTGAGAAGTACTCTGTGGGGGGTTAATACCAATGTGTCTTTTACTGTAATAAATTAAATAATTTTTGAAAAATTCACTGTATTTCTTTTTTTTTTTTAAACAGTTACAGTTTTTATTATTTATTTACTTATTTATTTTATGTGTGTGTGGCCAGCTCAGCCCACCAGGGGGCGGGGCTGGCTGGCATGTGGTGCTGGGGGACTGAACCGCGGTCCCTGTGCTTTGCTTAGCTTAGCTTGTTCTAAGTAGGTGCTTTAGACCACTGAGCCATCTCACCAGCCCCTGTATTTCTTATACAGAGCTACATTATTAGGATACACCAATGGTGACAAAAGAAAGGTCTGAAGCCAACTGTTAACAATTTGGGGGTTGGGACTAGACAGGGTTATAGTGGGAGTGGAGAAGTATAAAAGAATCATTTTAAACTCTGTATTTCAAAATTTTTTTCTTGGCTGTTATAACAGGTATCATTTTCACAACTAGACAAATGTTATTTTAAGGTAAAATATCAGAGGTGCATCACAACTTGATACTCTTACTGAAAATGCACCAAGTACACTGAGCCTCCTGACCATCACAGTGTAGTAACACAGCACAGTAATACTGAGTAATGGTTGCCTTGCTTGTTCCTACAGTTGACCAGGAGGTATAGCTGCTGCCACTGCCCAGCATCTTGAGGGCAGCCAGGAAAAAGACTAAAATAAAATCTTAAGTATAATTTCTACTGAATGCTTTTGTAAAGTCAAGGGTTTATTGAGCTAAATCATCCCGAATGGGGAATTTTGGACACATGCCAAAAGGATACAGAATGTGACCTAAAGGGCTTTCCATTAGGCCAATTTGGGAAACATTTGGACATTAAAAAGTTAAGACAAAATGAGTACTGCTTCTACTGTCATATTGATTATTGCTATACTCTCTTTAAAGTAAATGTTTGCAAAAAAAAAAAAAGTAATAAAAGAAAACAAGAGACAAGAAAAAAATGTCATAGGGACTGTCTCGCTACAATGTTGTATATGGTTTGATTTCCAAATTTCTGTGTAAAAATGTTTGGTTCTTTTTCAAATTGTATAGGGATTTTTTTTTTTTTTTTTGAGGAACCAGGGATTGAACTCAAGCCCTGTGTTTGCCAGGGAAGCACTTACTCCACTGAGCCATCTCCCAGGCCCTGTATAGGGATTTGAAGTTTATAGTATCTATGGTTGTTGGAAAATACCAGTTTCATATTATGTCTAAGGTGTTTGATACTCAAGACAGATAGCGATGTTTAGCTCCACTGCCTCTGTTACAAGATCATAATATTAAGCTTTTCTTCTGGATGTTTAACAACTAAAGTTTGTAGACCAAAAATGAGAGAAATACAGGGGCTACAAGGATAGCCAACATTTTGGCCCTCGCCCTTCAAGGTCAGTGAGGACTTGGGACATAACAGAACCTGTGCTGTGACATCCTGTAACTCAGTGGTATCCCACTGTT